ACTGCATAGTCTCTCCGAGCGACCCCCCTCCCCCCTCCCCAACCCCATCTTTGTGCTGGTTAGACTAAAGCTTTTCAGGGTTTGTACGCATGTGGTCATACTAAATAAAACAAAGACAGCAGATTCTCACAGTTTGACTTTTTTTTAGTTTATATATATTTTTTCCTGTCTAAAATATAATAACCTTAGCACTTTTTGATCGACTGTAGAAGCCGTTGGGTGTGTTATGATGTAGCATTTTACTCACAGGATAGTTAAGAGAAACACAAGTCACATTATTATTATTTCTTAAATATTAAAAAAAGCAGTAGAGTATCATCAGCAAACTTCCTTCCATCTTTCTTTCCTCCCGTTATCTGGCCCTGTCATGAAGCTGCTTGGCAGCCCTGGGGATTGTACAATGCTCATGGTGGTTTTTTTCTCACGTCATCATCCTTTTGCCAAAAAAAAAAAGAAAGTTTTCTTCAAGCATTTAATATTGTCCAGCTTTTTAAATACACATATGCACACAACTCAAATTATTAAAAAGAAAGAAAAAAAATCGATCCCTTTCCTTCCGTATCAACCCTCCCCTCCTGGATTTGGCATAAATTCACGCACAGTTTCTGTCTTCACACACAAACACACACTCTGACAGTAGATTGGACGAGACAGAAACACAGCAAAATGACGCTGAGAAACAAAAACAGTAACATTATTATTGAGAGGCGTTTTTTTGTTTTGTTTTACAGACGTTGCTTGTCCCTTCTCTAACAGCACAGCAGTGCTGCCTCCTTGGCGGCTGAGCACGGAGCAGCTGCTGTCCCGCTCAAAGTTAAGGAAAAGGACAACGCTGCTCGTGTCGGCGCGTGGAAATAAGCACTGCTAAGAATGGAAAGAAAACAAAATGTAAAGTTATCTGAATGAGCGGAAAGGGAATATGGACAGTTTGGAGTTCACTTGCCACACGTTTTGTTAGGTTTTTTTTTTTTTTTTGCGTCTCCTCTCCTGTAAGTTAAGTTTGAGAGATGCATAAGGAGAGTGGATTCCAAAGAAGCTAGCAAAGAGGCAAATGTGACCCCGTGTCCCTGAAAAAAAAAAAAAAAGCCTGGAAGAACCAGTCCGTCACTGAGTCCCGGCCCCTTTTTTGCCTGATTAACTACGGACCACAGAGAAACCTCGCCTCGTTTCAGTCAAACTCGAGACGCGAGCGTCTTCGTGGCAACCCAATGAGCGGTGGGGTTTGTAAAGGGGACATGAATGAGGCTGCTGAGGCGGTCAGAGAAGTCCTTTGTTTTTTTTTAACCGTTTTTGCTACAATCTGGCTCAGACGAGTTCTGTGCAGCCGCCCAGTGAATGATGGAAACAACTCTTACGTTCCTTCACTGGGACCAACAAAGCACCATCACACAAACGTAAACACACACCTTTAACTTCTGCTGAAAACACGCCGACACATATCTTTCACACGCCTGAAACACAAGCCCSCCCCCCCCCCCCCCSYCGCTCGTCTGACCGACTCAGCTCTGCCCTCCTTCCTTCGCTCGCTCAGCCTACAAATCAGTTCAAGTGCAAAATCCAAGCCCCCTCATTTCAATTCACCAAATTAAGTCAACTAAAAAAATAACACAGTTTAGATGTTCCATTTGATTACAAGACAAAACAAATAACATACTTTTATATATAGTTAAGCAAACAGATGTGGAATTAGGTAAACTAATCTTTTTGTATGATTGAAGTATTTGGTAAAAAGCGTTCAATACTGGCACACACCACTGTCAAGTCTGGCTAATACTCGAGGTTCTGTTTCACTACATTTTAAAGTTGTTTATATTCAAGGCTAAAAACACAACTAAAGCAAAAGCTTATAACTTCTGAAATAAAAACCTATATCGGTGGGGAAGAAAAAAAAACAAAAAAACACAACACGTGCGCACGCAAACGCACAACACAGGAAAAATACAAAGGAAATTAAGGTCCATGGCTTCACTAATGCTGATCTCTCATCTGCTCACACTGAAGCTGTTTCGTTTTGATAAAATTGTGCATCATTGTAACCTGGTGTGTAGGTAAATTATTCACACTACAGTAGGTTGGTTGGTTGTTTGTTTTTTTTACTACGAACACCAGTGGTGGATTTTTACATTCACGCCGTTCTTTCACACGCAAATTCATGACGTCAGAAACTTCAGATGAACACACCACCCTCCCCCGAATCAAAGGAAGAGGAAAATAAAACAACTAAAAAAAAAATCAGCACAACAATACAATCATATTCTATTTGTAAACAGGTAGAAGCCACTTGACTTGTTGCATCTTCGGACACAATTAGGATCAAGGCAATGAAATGTGGACGACTTTTTCACTGTTAAAATATCTTCAACCCAAACAGGATTTTTTGTTTTTCCTCTTTTTTTTTCCCAAAACACCATTTGTGGCAATGATTTAAAAGCAAAACAAAGGATGTTATATTTAGCATTTGTTGTACTTAAACATTTAAAACATTTGAGACACGTGGGGGTGGGTTAGGCCTTGTGAATGTGAGAGGGGGTATGCATAGATACAGATTTGCCTTTTCTCTTGGTTTATAAATCTGACAATATTTCACACTGACACAATAAACACTCCCCACATTTTTTTTACAACAGTGGAGTGGAGAAGTGGAGGGGGAGAGAGAGGGAGATCCTCCATTATCCCGTCCCTCCGCCGGGACGCTCCCCCTCCCTCAAAAGACAGCATATTAAAAGCAGTGTGTGAGCTTCTCCAGCTTAAAGCAGTTATTTGGCAGAGGGAAAAAAAATAAAGACCTATACATAGTTTTCAGTGCTAGATGTTGGATTTTTCCTTTCCTACAAGAAGTAGCAGATTTTTTATTTTTTTATTTTCATTCAACTACAGGGGGGAAACTGGCTTAATTTCCTGAGAACCACTGCTGGTTATTTAGCAGACAAGAGGAATAGTTGAAATAACCAACGCCATGGCCAAAAACACTGATCCGAATTCCCCGAGTTACAACGCATCGTCTTCATCCTCAAGAGTTGTTTTTTTGTTTTTGTTTCTTTTATAATTTTTTTTATATATATTTTATTTTTTATTTATTTTTTTGTATTTTTTATATTTTTTCCATCTTCTTTTTTTTTTAATGAAGAATGAACACACGTTCCGCCTCCTAAGTCTTGTAAACAAGAGGTTGCAGTGTGGCACCTCCAAAACATTGAAAGCCTATTCTGAAAGTGCTGTTCCCTCCCAGCCCGCTAGGGAGCGAACCAGGAGGGGCTTGCTAGATAGGCCCCGCCTCTTATATTAGAACGGGCGGGGCTTGCTAGTCCCAGCTGCGGCTACAGTCCTTTGCACTGCAGAGCTCAACTTTCTTTAGTTTTAAAACAAAATTGGTGCAATACTTTTTAATGTCACTTTTTTTTCTTTCACCCGATAATCATCCTTAGTCAGGTTTTTAATCTGTTGATCTTGAACTCCACAACAACGCAGTAAGGTAGGCGTGCCAAGGCAGAGAGGAGCACACACATACACATTCATTCACGATGCAATCACATATACGTAAAGTTCTTCCACGCACGCATACGTACATACATACAATAAGGACCTCAATGAGTAAACAGCTACACTGGAAAAACTGGCTGCTCCCTCTATATTGCAGATTATATATACTGAGAAAAAACCACATTCAGTGCAAAGTTAAAAAAAAAGCTCATACTCCAACATTGTCAGCAAACAAATGCAAAAAAAAAAAAGAATTTAAAATGAAAATTTTAAAATAAAAAGAATTGGAATTCAAAATAAACACGACGATTTGAAAAAAAAAAAAACAATATATATATATATATATGTATATATAATATTCAACTTTACTGAAGCTTTTTTTCGGTCTGAAAGAGCACTACCTGGAAGCAAATATCCATCCGTTCACATTATAGAATTGGCCTGCATGATTCAAGTATTCCGACTGATATGTTTTTGGGCTAAAACAAAGTGGACATATGTGCAGAAAGAGAAACGTAACTTGTATTCCACAGGGGAGACCCCGTTTTGTTGAATATCTTGTAAGTGAGAAAAAGTCCAACTAGTGCCGTTGCATTTAGAACTACCTTTTTTTTTATTTTCTTCGAATGATGAACTCTACTGACCCTTCCTCCAGCCTGTTTGACTGAAAGGTAGTTCACATGGAGTCGCCGCCCCCCGTCAGGTGATCCACCGGTAGGAAGGAGCTGATTGGAGAGGGGCTGCTGATCCTCCCTGATTCGGTGCCACTGGAGCTCCCCCACAGGCTACTGGAATAGTTGGGCCCGCCCCAGAGAGAGGATCTCGGTAGATCGCCGCCGTTCCACTGGTTCAGTTCAGAGGCGCGGCTGGGAAAGGGGTGAGACTGATCCATTCTGCTCTGAGGAGAGCCGATGGTCTGCCAGCTGGAGGAGGGGGTGGCCAATGACTGCCCTTGTGCAAAGAAACGGTTGATTTCCTCCTCGCTGGCAAACTCAGCCAGAATAGTAGTGTTCCCCAAAACACACCTGCAAATAGAACCAAAGAACTTGAAATTTGAGGAAAGAGTTTAATTTCACATGTTTTCTGTCTCCAGCTGGTCAGCTTCTGTTTATTAGCCAAAAGCAGAAGCTGAAGTGATAGTTTATTTGACATCCTTACATGTGCAGGCTCTTCTGGGCCTTGGCAGCCTCGTCCTTGGAGCTGTAGCAAACCACGGCGTTACCATGCGGCAGGTTGAGGTGGAATGTGATCAGAGGGCCGTGTTGCATGCACAGGGTCCTCAGTGTTGAGCCGTCAATCTGGGAGACCACGAGAAACAGAGATGACAAAAATGACAAAGCTTTTCCATTGTTCTACTTCTGATGAACTAATAAAAGCTGACAAATAAAATGTGGCTCTTTAGACGCTAGTACCTGGGGGGTGAGATTTTTCAGAACAAGCCATTGAGTTCTCCCTGAGCTGCTGCTTTCACCCCAACTGGAACCTGTTATCACATACAGTATGAGACCATAAATCTGTGATGAAAAGTCTGAAATATATCAGTCTGCAACACTACGAATAGTACATCTTTGTCAACATTAAAGCAGTAATAATCCAGATTTTGGAGGTTGACACTAATTCACTTTGTAAGTTTGGATCATAGAAACTGAGCTGTCATGTTCTCTAAATAATGTGTTTGTGAAAAATATGTTTTATCAAATGAATAATTACAATAACTTTTGACCTGGTTCATAAAGTTGGCATTGCAGATTTTTAAAATTTTGAGTGGAAAATAATCCTGTGTCGTCCTCTTCCTCACCAGGTGTGTATCTAGACTCAGAGGAGGCCCAGCCCCCCAGCCTCAGGGCAGAGCCATCCCAGCCAGAGTGGGCAGGGTTGGGCTTCTGGCTGGTGAGGCCCGGTGGAGGTCTGGAGGGGGCTGGTACTGGCAGCGGCTTGGGAGACAGGGGAACTTTCCAAAGCTCATGGGCTAGAGAGGAGTTGGACACAGAACCGCCGCCAGGAGACCACTTTGACTCACTGGGTCGAACTACGAGATGAGAGAAGATGAAGGAAAAAGTTGATGAAAATGTTCAGCTGAAGTTTAAAAAACAAAACAACTAAATGTTATCAGTGGGAAATGGTGTGTGTGTACACAGGAGCAGAACAAATATTGTACATCTATCTGGTGACACAGTGAGAAAATTTCAAGCAGACCTGAAGTGCTTTGTGCTGTACTGGTGAGGGAACCGCTGTGGCTGGAGGCACGAATGGATGACCAGGCACTGTTAGAAGGCATCGTGGTGTTCAGTGATGAGGATGGCCCTGAGAAACATGAGGAGGAGCGTTATATGTTACATTTGTGTGTTCAGATTGTCACATGTGCTTTCACAAAACTGACACTAGTTTAGGGATGGGTACCAAATAGGAATGTGCGATATGGCAAAAAATTCATATCACGATATGCAAAATGATGAGTGGTGGTAACGATATACAGTATATCACAATATAAAACTTATAATAGAAAATAAATAAATTACACATTAATTGAGTGGAATAAATATGTATAGGTAGAAAAATTTAGACCTTAAAATCTCCTTTTTTAAGGGACACTTTAAAGTCTCCCATAAAAATCTAAATTTAAGGGAGATCTACCTGGTTAAATCAT